ACTACTACTACTACTACTCCTCTTCTACTTCCACTTCTACTGCTACTACTACTGCTACTACTACTACTACGACGACGACGACTACTACTACTACTGCTATTACTACTCCTACTACTCATCCTACTACTACTTTTACTACTACTACTACTACTACTAATACTACTGTTACTACTACTACTACTACCACCACTGCTACTGCTACTACTACTACTACTACTACTACTACTACAGACTGCAAAACGACGACGACAACAACAGCACCAGCACTACCACCACCAGCACCACCACCACCGCCGCCACCACCACCACCACCACCAGCAGCAAGAGCTGCAGCGAGCGCAGCAGTGCCAGCAGCAGCAACAACAACAACTATGTATGTCACTTCACACCTGACCGCGGTCCTCACAACGAAAAAGATCTTCAAACCACATTGTGTACATGGAAACGTGTCAGCTGGCCAGTTTTTGAATTCGGGCTACCGAATCCCAATGCTACCCGCCAAAGATATCAAGAGTTGCTGCTGTAAGGAAACACTCGCGCAAAATCGTCACAACCGGGACCCTCCCTCCATCCCATCCTGCCAGCCACCCAGGTTCAGTACGTCGGGGAGAAGGAGGTGCCTGCGTGGAAAGCCAGCTGGCGCTGCCTGACTGACATAATGGCAGCTTTGCAACTCTGGGAGACTCTTTGCTATAAATTTCCGAGGTCCTGAATCTTATTATCAGAGCATCTGTTTACACGCAGCTTCACGGTTTGCCGTTGCCCGCAAGCTTCTTGCACCGCAAAAAGCGAATAATCATCTTCACGCATGCGTTGGCAAGAGCACCGGTAACAACACTAACAAGGGTAATTCCAGTGACAACAATATGTAATGATAGCATCTATAGCAGTTATGATAGCGCTTGCAGTATAACAACCAGTATTGCAAGAACGGACAGCAGTAGTAAAAGCATGAATCGAAGTAATTGAAAAGTAGCCGCGATGGCTGGAATACCCTGCATTTGGGCCCCAGCCCCTCGCTCCCGAGCAGGCTATGTGATTCAGTGGCTGAACCTTGTGGATTTGTTTGCGATAGCACCTGGGCTGCAGAAGTGGTGGGAACGAGTCTGGTTGTGCTGGGTCTCTTTTCGATGGTGCGAAAGTCCCGTCCATGTAATCATGTTCCCAGGGTCGCTGTCACTATATCTCAACAGGGGATTCAGGGATTCACGCGGTGTGTGCTGTGCCGCAGTGCCTTGTCAAAGTCTCGATTCCTGGGTGTTGAGCCCCCAAAGGCTTGAAGGTGAGGCGGACTAGAAGTGTGTCGGCCCTACACTACAGACATAAATCCCCAAGCATCTTGACCAGCAAAGGAACAGTACCAGTGTTGGTTTTCCTCCGTCTTCGCACAGCCGTGGCAAACCTAGATCTAGTCACATCTAATCGCTTAGAACCCACCATAATCAGAAACCCGACAAGCCTAACACTGTAAACTCTGGACCCTCAGGTGCCATTCTATCTGGAGCTTGCTGGGCTGCTGGATTCAATGAAGATCTTGAGATCCTATTATAGAGGGGGGTTCAAGGTTCGGGGCTGTGGGGCATTCTGGGGCTCGGGTTTAGGGGGGTTCTGAGTTTCTTGTTTCAGCTCCAGGGATGTTTTTTGGGGTTCTGGGCCTCTGGGGATCCAGCGTGTTGGCTTTGACAAGAGTGCTGAGGGTCAGAACTTCAGAACCTTCATTAGTCCTCCTACTCCTCAGGGCTTCTTTTTTTATAGTTACGAGTATCCCAAAACCCTAAACCCCCTAAACCAAAAGCCCTATTCTACTTATTAAGGCGCTTACATTAGCCTCAGAGGGGGAGCCGTTGGCTGCAGGCTGCAGCTGGGCAGCTCTGCAGTGATACGACGCTCGGACGGCATGGGCTTCAAGGCTCTAGCGATTGACTACAAGGCCTTTCCTGGGTAATAGTAGGGAGACCCCTTAAATGAGACCCTTCTTAACCCGACTTGTGGCTCTCTTAGGAAGGGACCTTGGTGAGAGGGACTCTATCCCCAGGGGTCCCCCTAATCCTAACGGTCCCAACGCCTGGCTGTTGTCTTTAGGGTTACCATTACTATAAGACACAACAAACGGGGTTCTATGAGGGCGACTATCAGGGATACTAATGAAGGTTACGATGAGGGTTTTCGTTTAGGGAGACTATTCCTTGTGTCACGGCGTAATCACTTGCTCAGGACCTCCAACTTGGTTTGGTACTTCCCGATGCCCACATGAGCCCTACTACTACTTTTTTGTAGTTACTAAACCAAAACCCTGAACCCCCAAGCCCAAAACCAACCTCGCAGAAGGAACACCCTGAAGCTTTACAACTACCAGGCCGAGACCCAAACTCGCAGATCCCCAAAGCATACGGGTAGATGGAGGCTCGGACACCCGCTTCGGCCAACACAGGCTGCACTTTTTGAGTTTGCGGTTTTGGGCTTCCGAGGTGTCATTCGCCTCATCCGCATCTTCCGGCTCCTCAAATCCCCAAAGATGCGAAATTGCGTGGACATGCGCCTTCGGCTGGGTTGAAGGGTTTAGGGTTTGAGATTTCGGGGGTTGGAGGGTCTTGGTTTAGTTTGGGGTGTAGAGAATCATGGCGCAAGGGCCGCAACTGTTTAGCGGCGATTGCGGAGCTTGGCCTTTAAGAGTTTCCGGGACTACGACGACAAAGAGTAGCCTGTACCCTTTAAAGGACCTTTCTGATGGCTGACACTTGGCGGTTTCAGGGCTGAGGAGGCTTGGTACAAACTGTTAGGAGTTTTGCTTTGCTGCATCGGTTGCGATCAACAGAGGGTACTCATTTTTTAGGGTCCTTTTGACTGGAAGTGGCCGACTGCTGCTATGATGGCCATACTTGTTGCTGCATATAGCAATTATAGAACTGGGTCCGGAGCCGCTCAGCAGCCAGATATTCATGTTCCTTGTAGGAATACTGGAATGCACTGGCACGTCAGAGAATACCGGAGGTTGAACGTAAGATTTTGATTATAGAGGGTTTAGGATTTGGCTGCACGTTCATGCGGGCGACAACAAGGGATGTTGCAAAAGAGCATTGAAGCCTGGCATTCTCGATTTATGGGCTTTGTGGAGGGGCTTCTCAGGAGAAAAGGTATTGTGCTCCTCCACAATATATGCTTCTCTCAGGCTTCAAGAGCAAGCCTTGTGACGTCCTGAGGATTGTTGACATCGTCAAGGATTCGCTGCCAGGTGTCGTCGCGTGAGGGTTTTGATGGGAGATCTCGTTGCCTTTTGAAAATTTTGAGGCTGTTGGATCACGGCTTCAAGTCTTCAGGGGGCAGCGTCCCTTGAGTGCCTTCCCAAATTCTGCAGCCCCATTTTCCACACATGTCAGTCCAGGTACAGACAAGATATGCATGAGATGTAGGTTTGCTCAACCTACCACGGCCTAAGGCTGCCTGCTGTTTCGTCATGCTCTACACCAGACTCCTTCTGTTTTGTCATGCTCTAGGCCACACTCCTTCTGTTTTGTCATGCTCTAAACCAGACAAGTCTATAGGCTCTCTTTCCGTTTTGCCGTAGCCTGATTGACTGTTGGGCTGAAGCTCCGATCAGGGCCCCAGGTTCTCGGTCCAACCTGGAATTTTGCAGGCTTGTGGGGGTTCTGTGTAGGTCGCACGGGCTCGAAGTCGCGGGTCTGGGCCAACAAATGCCAAACTTCAGGCATCGTGTCCGTCTTTTCCCTGACGATGTTGGTCTGCGTGCTGTTCGCGCATGGGAGCCCAGCACGGTAACCTCGAGTTGGTGATGCCTCTGGGGAATTTGGTGTTGCGGGTTGCTCCCCACGCAATTGGATGAAGCGGTACACGAACTCGCAAGATGGGGTGAAGATGCTTGCTTACTACGCGAAGAAAGAGCGCAGGAAATACCCATGTCTTTCGTAGCGTTCCAAACTGTATGATAGGATTCGGCTCTTGAAAAACATCCCTCATATCACGAACAGATACCTCCTGTTACTTTTCCAGCCGGCGGCCCGAAAGCCATTGGAAGACGATCAAGTAAACCTGCGTTTGCCTCTCCAAGCTTCAAGCATTAATCCATGACGTACGAACCTGACATCCATTGGGTTTTATGGCTGCTACTGTAGAACAGCTTCATTGACTCTGCAACCTTCGACGCGTGAGTCCGAGTTGAAGTCGCATGCCAGGACGAAACCCGAAACCTAATCACGGTACGGCCCTTTGGTTAGATAAACCGCCACGGCCCTAACCCTGAAGACCCAAAGCCAAAGTCCTAAATCTCTAAGCGTGGAAGCTGAGGTCATGCATCTATTTCGCAGAAGGCACCCAGTACTCCGTCGAGCACTTCACCTCAGAGTCGGGGCCCAAGAAACAAAGCTTCGTCGCCTGAATGTTTAGGGTTTAAATTCAGGATTTAGGGTTTAGGATGTTGAAGCTTCTGCGCTCACATCGTTCTATGTGTATGATACTGCACTGCCCGGTGGCTGAACTCGTCTGTTTCTGAGCCTGGATTAAAGCCTGGCCCCATCTTCCAAAGATCTGCTACTACGTGAGAATGAATGAAAGTGCTGCTGTTGATGATATAAATCCTGCATTACTTTAAGGACCCTAAACTATGGGAACTCTGGTATATTCCTTAATATGGGTAATGCCGGATGTATATCGTCAACCGTCGTAGTAGTAGTA